GTGGGGGAACTTGCACAATCGGTGGCTGACTAAATACTTTTTTGCCCCACTGTATCTTTTCCTTACAACCTAGTCTTCTCCTTACACCATGAGTACTTTTTTTGTCCTTAAAGGAAAGGTAAGTCACCATAATGTGATAAACAGATTTATAGCCCCACATCACAAATAATGCAAAAGTCAAATACACAACACTGGGGAAGTGGAAACCCCAGACTGGGGAGAAGAGAGTAAAATAAAGACAGCCTCAACATGGGCATAATTCATGAGGCTCTGAAGTGAAGGCTGTGCCAGCATAAGAGGCTCCTCTAGGATTTTGAGTAGCCATGGGTATGACAGTGCAATTCCCGGGACTGCTTCAGCTTTAAAATTGTCATTAACAAGAAACAGTTGCAACATGCAGTAAAACCAGTGCAGGCATCAGATTCTCACCTGGCAGCTTTTTACAAGATTTTGAAATGACTGTTTTTGTTAAGCCTGAATCGAGAGGTGCAAATTAAACTGATAATGATGACGGTTATAAAGAGTGAATTGATATTATCCCAACTTAGTTTATGAGACTAAAAAATAACACCAGGAGGCATCTATGTGAAGGCCATCTGGCTTTCCTTCAGATTTAAAATTCATGCATCAGAGTGGCATCAATCTTCCTCTGTCTTGTCAAGAAAGCAAATAGCCAAATGTATCAAAATATCAAAATTCCTATAAGTCAGTTACAAATGAAAATGTTAATTATTTCTAGAAAAGTCAAGAATGCAATAATGCATGCAGTTATGTCGATGTTATAGGACATTCTCGAGGATATTCTGGTCAAGCTTGCTCTGAATCACTTTGCATGAATGACACTTAGACTTGCAGGTAGAATCTTTATAAAGAAAACAAAAGTCTTCACTGACATGTATACGCAAAAACAGCTCTAAAGCCTTAAAAATAGAAAAAGATTTCTGTCAAATGTAAGATTTCTTTATTTTTACAGCTCTGGAAAGAATAAAAGATTTGGAATCATTTTAAATAGTAATGGCTCTCATGCGTAAATTATGCTAGCCCAGCTAACAAAGGCTGATGATAGCAAGAATTGGAGCTTATCCCTCCCCCTCCCCCTTTCAAAGTTTGGGCACAGCAGTACCCTGGAGGTTAGAGAACTATGAACATATGGTATCATTGCTGGTTCAAATCTCTGGAGGGAAAGAGTGAATAACAGCCCTGCACTGCTGAACTACTTCTGTGCACAGGATTAAGCTCGCTGATGCAACCGTGCAAATGTGAATCTAGGTGACAGGAAATATATAAAAGTGTGCCCTGTTGATTCTCCCGAAAAAAGTCAAATTAAAGATGTTTCTTAACCAGAAATGATGAGAATAATCAGAATAAACCCTCACAATTCTTCTTTCTCCAGCATATTTCTTTACCTTTGTGTTTCTGCAGCAGCTCATCCATGTGCTCTATGACTTCATAGTACTCCTCCAGCTCCAGCATACACTGGCAGTAGTTCAGCTCCAGGGGGACAATCATTCGACCTAGGTTAATGTAGTCTATATCACCTGGCATCTCCTACACAAGAATGCAGATTTAAAAGAAAAACAACATGTTCATTCAACACTTTGTTTAGTAGTTATACGGTGCACATGAAAAGTATTCTCAGTTCTCCACTTGTTCCACATTTTGTCATGTTACAGCCTTATTCAAAAATCAATTGAATTTATTTCTCACCTAAAAATTCTACACACAATAACTCATAACAACAAAGGGAAAACCTTTACTTGAAATTCTTGCAAGTTTATTAAAAATAAAAAAACAAAAATACAAAATGCACATAAGTATTCACAGCCTTTGCTCAATACTTTGTTGAAGCACCTTTGGCAGCAGATACAGCCTCAGGTCCTGTTGAGTAGCTTGACACTCCTCTTCTTGGGTAGTTCTTCCCTGCAGGATCTCTCAAGCTCCATCAGGTTGGATGGGGAACATCACTGAACAGTCATTTTCAGCTCTCTGGGAGATTGTCACGGTGTTTCTAGTTTTCTTATGTTCTCGTTAGTTTCGTTCTTCCTGGTTTAATCATTTGTATTTCTGTTGTGTGTTGTTGTTCATTTAGTCTGTTCTCATTTGTGCCTCCCTGCGTAGTCTATCGTGTATGTTTAGTTCTGTCTCCATGGTCATTCTTCTTCCATGTTTATCAGTTTGTTACTCTTGTCTCTGTGCTCCGGGTTCGTGCTTCCCTTGCGTTTCCCCAGTTAGTCATGTCTCAGTGTCAAGTCTGTGTCTTTGTGAGTGTCTCTTGTTTTGCTGTTTTAATAATTATAAGAATTCAGTACATTTAATTATCATTTTTACTTTACCAAGTGTTTAAGGCCAGCTATCTGTAAGCCACAACATGAAACCTTCAAATATGTCTAAAACTGTTGTGCGTTCACCTTAACATAACTTTTCTTCTCCCTAGAGTATTGCGCTATCCTCACACCCCACCACCCACCTTCTCTGCTCTTATCTAAGACAGGTCTCCTTTTTTTTTCTGCTGCCTGCCTCCCACCCGGCTGCATGTAATCAGGGACACCGTGAAGCAGAGCAAAACAGGAAAACAGGAATGTCCCACTGGAAAAGAAAGAGCTGCATGTCCCAAAAACCCCAAATCCTGAAGAGACCTCAGAATTCACAAGCTTCCCCAGTACTCATTTTGCATGCCCCTCCCCACACAAACACACAGACAGATTCACACAAACAACACACACACCCTGCCTACATCCCACCTTTCTTCCAACCGCTCTTCACTCACCCTAGACTGGACAGTTTTTAGCAGCAGGACAGCTTCTTTGTACTTGCTGGCAGCATCTCTGTATTTCTTCTGTTGGACCAGAGCATTGCCCTGCATGTGGAGAACTGGCACTGTCTGCAGCTTTTCATCCTTTTCCATCATCCACGACTCTCTGTGGTAGGACATGGGGTCTCCTACCTGCATAGGAGAAGAAGATAAATGATGCAAGTGAATTTTAAACAGGTACTAAGCATGCGTGAGAAATTTGTCTATTTTATTAAAGTTATTTAAAGCTACAGTTAGTAGTTATTTCAGTCCACCAATAACAATAATAATTGTTTAACTTTAAACTTTGCTTATATACTTTCAATTTGTGATAATGAAAGTTTTACTTAGGTAAAAGATCTACTTTTGGAGACTGAAGAAGTCATTTTGATGAGTTGCAAAACATTTCTCCCACTGAAACGCTAGGTCCAGATAAATAGAATCAACTTTTTGGAATTTCCTTACTTGGATCATTGAGCATGCATCAAGACATTTCATAAAGTATCTACATTTTTCCACAGCTGAAGATTTGTCAGCTGATGTGAAATAGAAATAATGTTAATGCACTGCCACCAATACTGGACTCGCTAATTAGTCTCAAGCTTGTTTGGGGAAATATAATATTTCAAAGCTGAATGTTTTAGACAGAGAGGCACTTTAGTCAGTGCTGTCAGTAAATTTTAGAAAAGCGTAAAGCTGGTGTAGCGTAAGCTAAAAAGTGGGAGAAGCTGTTCATTCTCTTCTTCCGCTATTCACTGTCACTGTCACAGATGCTTACCTGCAGCAGCTCCATAATAAATATGAGCGGCTGAGGAGTCCGCATCAGCTCATCCAGCTCCGGGAAACCCGTGGAGTGATAGTGGAACAGGTTTCCCATTCCGCACATGTGTCTCTGACCCTCCAGAGGGTCTTTCCCTTGAGCGATCAGTCTCATTCCCTTGGACACAATGGGGTACAAGCCTGTGTGCTGTGAAATTAGCACATCAACAAAATCATGCACGCAACATCTAGAATAAAACACAGAAGCACTTAATCATGCTAACCCTCTGGTTCTGGCAGCCCGTGCCAATCAGCCGTACAAGAAAAAACACAAGAAGTCGCACAATTTTACTTGCAAATTACATTTTCCTCCAGAAGGAAAAACAGAAAAAAATTGCACAAAGAGATTGCTTTGTTTATGTTTATATTACTGAGCATGTTGGAGGCCACAGAACGTTGATTCATGTGCATTATAATGAGGAGTAAAAGCTTCCCTTTCCCAGTCATGAACACTTATTACATCCTCTCAGGGGCCGGATATCTCAGAATGTGTGCGTGCAGTTTGTAATCCAACTCACAATGGCATCACACCAGAACTCAGCCACCTCTCCAACACGCATGGACGTCAACAGGGTCTCCCAGACTTCCATCTTAAACATCTTTCCGACAAAGATCTCTGCCGGTCTGCCAGCTAGTCGGCTGTCATCAATGACTGTCCTCTCGAAGTTGTCCAACAGTGTCTGGAAGTGGAAAACCAGCTTGGAAAGTGGGAACGGGGAGAGTACAAGAGATTAATGACACAAACTACAGTCAGTGGAGACTTCACTAGGCATATAAAGTGGCCACTGATTTTTCAACAAAATATTTAATATACAGTGTGGTGAAAAACATTTAGCCCTTCCCTGATTTCTTAGCTTTTTGCATTTTTGTAACATTTGCATATTTCATGAAAAATCAAGTTGTTTACAAAACAAGACAAAGATAAGCTGCGTGAGTATAAAATACAGTTTTGATGATGATTTTATTTATTAAAGGGGTAAAAGCTATCTAAACTTAACTGGGTGGAAAATTAATTGTCCTCTCTTGTTAAATCAGGAATTAGTTCCGATTAACTTTTTTTTCCCACTTTCACACCCAGCCTGACTGCTGCCTTTTGAATTGAGAAATAGATGGAGAAACCTTTGGAATGCAAGCATGCTGATCCACACAGGTATGCACACAGGTGTACACATGGGTATTCACAGACGCGGACTAAAGCTTTCTTGGCTGCTGCCTCAAAGCACACTGTGCGCTGTCTATCTTGCGTGCTGCACAATATCGTTTATTATTTAGTAACTATTGATATCTATGACTAGCTAGTTTATTGTGATGGTGCTTTGTTTTCTCTATTATTATGTTGCTCTTTGTTGTTTGCTGTCTCCTCTGTTTGTTTTTTTTTGTTTGTTTTTTTTTCTCCATACAGGTGACCCAGGAGTTTTTTTTTTTTTTTTTTTTTTCTCTCTCTTCCCCCCCCCTTCTCACCGTCTCTTCTCCCCTTTGGTTTTCTTTCTTTCTCTCCCCCTCTTTCTCTCATTCATTCCCCCTGTCCTATTTATTAAAAAAAAAAAAAAAAAAATGACAAAGGATGAACTGAAGCTCTGCCATCACGTAATGTCGCATACTGCTGTTTCTGATGTCATAAAAAAAAAAAAAAGAAAAAAAAGAATTGAGAAATAGAAGCAATCTGACAAAGTAAAAAAGTCGAAAAGAGCCCAAAAACGTAAGAACAGACGAAAAACAAAGTTCCTGACATCTATCAGTCTGGGAAGGAAAAAGTCATTTCTAACGCTTTGAGACTCCACAATGGGAGCCAGTATCCACAAATAGAGAAAACTTGGAACAGAGGTGAACCTTTAAGCAGTGGCCAGCCTACAGAAATTACTTCAAGAGCATCAACTAATCCAGGAGCTCATAAAAGAACCCAGAACAACATCTGAAGAACTGCAGGCCTCACTTGCCACATTTAAAGTGTTCATGATTCAACAATAAGAAAGACGAGGGAACAATGGCATCCATGGGAGAGTTCCAAGGTGAAAACCACTGCTGACCAGAAAGAACACGAAGGCTCGTCTCACCATTTGCTATAAAACTTCTTAACTGAAGACATCCTGAAGACTTTTATAAATATATTATGTCCCATTGCACCTGGATGACTTGCTGTAATTCATTGAACCATACATTTTTTTCTCTTTCAGAAAATCTTAAAGGAGAATGTCCAGCCATCATTTTGTCCCAAACACACATGGGTTATCCAGCAGGACAATGAGGAATTCCACATCTGAATGGCTCAATAACAACAATATGAAGGTTTTTGAGAGGCCATAAGTTAAGACATAAATCCATACTTTGAAATGACCTCAGAACACCTCTAATGTGGCTGAATTACAACAGTTCTGCAAAGAAGAGTGGGACAGAAATTCTCCACAGAGATATGAAAGACTCATTGCCAGTTGTCACAAACGCTTGGTTACAATTCTTGCTGCCAACCAATTTCCAGTTTTACGGGGCAATTACTTTTCCACATAAGCCTAGGTTTGGATACGTTTTTTTCTCTTGACAAACTGAATCATCATTTAAAAACAATATTAAAATTAATTTGACCACCTGAAACATGTAAATGTGACAAATATGTAAAAATTATATATATATCAGAAATACATTTTCACAGCACTATACAGAAATAATAATTTTAAAAAATATCTTTGTCTGCAAATACTTACATCACCACCTAAATCTTGAAAGTTTTCTTAAAGAATTTCCTGCAGTCAATATAAAGGATCTACCACATCTTCTCAAAGCCTATTGATTGTCCTTTTCTAGTGAATGTTAATTTGTTCCATTGATTGCAAGCTTTAAAAGCCCATTAAATCAATGGCTAAAACAAAAATAGTTTTGAATTACAACAAGAAAACTAAAAAGCCCCCTTTGTCATTTCCAAATAAAAACAAAATCCAATTTAACTTGAAAATTATTTTCTTGTATATTTTGTAAATATAATTTACAGTAAGTACTTTTAAACTGAATGACATACATGATATATTTCAGACATCATCTGTTTGCGTGCATCTAAGAGTCGTCAAGGTTTTAGCATCACCCTGACTTAAAAATAATGTTGGATCTGTGTAACCTTATTTATAGCCTGACAGATTGCGTGTAATCGCAACAGTCTGATAACTGTGTGAACAAATGGGAATCACCTCACTGGGGAGGGAACGCACACATCCACACACGCGCGCACAGGTAAATGGAAATTCATGCTGGCATTGTCATGGAAAATATTTGTCACAGTGTCCAGGCTCGGTGCCATATGGCTGGATGTGACTAGGAAGGGAAAAAGTCGGAAACCAGCAGATCAGTGGAAGCACAGAAACAAAGATACAGTGCCAAAAAACATGTTGCAATTTGGTTGACCAAATGTTTGCTCTGTGTGCATGAGCCAGATACAGAATAAATTTTCTAACTTCATGAATAATTCAAAAGAATCTAATTGAAGTGGGCATTGCAACACACAGCTAAAAATAGACACCCAAGATAGACATTTTTTCCCCCGTGGAACATGAATTACTCCACAATGGTTATTATTGTACACAATCAGTGTCATCAACACTGCGTGATAACCTACCCTAACGATTAGGTTATCGCGTTAACTGCAATTTAGAATACCTTTGTCCCAGGTGGAAAGTGAGGTAACGGTCCACTGCCTCCTGCCAGAATTTTCTTCCTGACACCTGGATAGTTGAGAAGGTATGTCTCCTCCATTGCCACACTGGGAAACAGAAAAGTGTGTTTTCGAAATGTCTTTCTCCCTCTAGCTGTGTTATTTTGACTTTCTGATTAGCCTAGTGGCAAGAGTCTTGGCTAGTTTGCTGCTCTCTGACAGATGGTAGGATTAGACAGGGTTTGGAGATGGCCACTTTAATCTGAGGAGCTAATCCCTTGCCTACTCCGGTGATTGGTGGGGGCAATCCCTGTTGGAAGGAGAAGGGAGAGGCGGGGATGACCGCTGAATCATGTGGATGAGAAAGGCCGAGATCGGTCTGGAACAAGTAAAGATCATTCTGGAGGAAGAGTGCTCTGATGACGCAGTGATGTCCTAAAGATGCAGCTGTCCCTCAGCTGGGAGGCAGAGGGTGTACAGAGAGCATCCTTCCAACTAAATCTGGCCTTAGGCTCCAAATATTTAAATACTTTTATTGTTAATCAAACTTTTTTTTTAGATTAGATTGTTCTGCTACTTTTATTTATATTTATATTTAACTTCATTATCATTTATTTATCTGGGCAAAAGTCCAATTGAGATCAAAATCTCTTTGCCAAGAGAGACCATGAGAGCACAGGAAATTACAACCAGTACAACACATAAACATGTAACAAAGAAACAAATACAATATTTTGCACAGACAAGTGCAAAATATTGCACTTGTCTGTGCAATATTCTGTTCTAAATTTGGGGACAAACATTTTTATATTACTGTAAGAGTGTATGACGTATTGGTTGAAGTTGAGGTTTTTACACATATAGAAACGCAGATAAGAAGGCACCAGTCCAAGCAGAGATTTATAGATAAAAGCCAACCAATGGGAAAGTCTGCAGATATAAAGAGATGGCTATTTAGTTGCCCCGGTGTGGGCGATTGTGGCTCAAGAGTTGGGAGTTCGCCTTGTAATTGGAAGGTTGCTGGTTCGAGCCCCGGCTTGGACAGTCTCGTCGTTGTGTCCTTGGGGCAAGATGCGTCACCCGTTGCCTACTAGAGGGTCCGGTGGCGCCAGTGTTTGGCAGCCTCGCCTCTGTCAGTGCGCCCCAGGGTGGCTGTGGCTACAATGTAGCTGCCATCACCAGTGTGTGTGAATGTGTGGATGACTGGATATGTAAAGCGCTTTGGGGTCCTTAGGGACTAGTAAAGCGCTATATAAATACAGGAGAGAACAAACAGATAACAGTGATGTAAATGATTACCACAGCTAGTGCAGAATTTAAGCTCTTCAGGTACTGGTCAGGTGCAATCATAAAAAGAAGATCACCGTAACATAATAAAGGTAAAAAGATGTAAAATGTTGCATAAATCAAGTGTTTCTTCACTTACTTTAGGTTTCATCTTGGACACAAACCTTTAAATGCGAGTAGTAAATGCTCATTTCTGATCTTTAATGATACCTGGAGACTTGTAAGATGTGGCCATTTCAGTTTGAGCCCCTTGAATGTTTTGATCTTTAGGATAGAAAACAACTCCGTCCATCCACTTCTCCTTTTCAGGGTCATGGGGGTCACTGGAGCCTATCCCAGCTATCTAAAGGTGAGAGGCAGGGTACATCCTGGACTGGTCACCAGTCTGTAACAAGGCTAACACACAGAGACAGACAACCATTTACACTCACCTTTTCACACCTATGGGCAATTTAGATTTTTCAATTAACACATGGTATTGAACTCAGGACCTTCTTACTGTGAGGCAACAGTGCTAACCACCATGCTACCACGCTCTTTAAGCTTAAAATACATTAAAGTGTGTGACATAGTACTGATTCTGAGCCAATAAACAAAACTTGTAGCTGAGATAGACTATTCATGCACATATATAGGACATCTATTTCAAGGACACTTAAAATAACATTCTGTAGTACACTCTTGAGTCAGATGAAAACCAAGCCCCTATTGTTGCTCATAACCGGTAGTTTCACCCTCTTACTTGAGCAAACCTGTCTCAGGCTTGATTGGTACCTTCTCCCGGTGAAGAGGTTCAGCTCTTTCAACAGATGTTCAGTGGGATTAAAACTGGGATTCATAGCAGGGCACCACATAAAGGTCACCTTCTCAACCCGTGTGGAGAGCTTTTAAATGTATACTTTGGGTCTTTTATACGATTGGAGGAGCCATGACCTGCAAGTGAGACCGAGCTTTGACAATAGATATGTTCCACCTTGATACTTGATGCACTGTGCCGTGCAATGTTCGATGTGATTTGTGCACAAGCCCGTAACATGTCTTTTACTAAAAAGGAGGCAATTCATTTTTCATAGTGAAGTTTGTGTCCTTTTCATGAAACTTCATTTCAGATTCTGTTTTCCCTCTGTGAACCCAGAGCTGATGTAACTTACCAAAAAGCTCTTAATCATGTTTCATCTGTAAAATGACTTTCAGAAATACTGGCTTGTCAACATGAGCTGTTCTGTTTTCTCTTTTAAAAGCGGGGTCATCGTGGGTCTCTCCCCACACACCTGCTTTGATCTCGCCGGCTTGTTATGTGTGTTTCGACTCTGACTTTATTTGGTTCTTCTTCCTTTTTGTTAACATGTTAAATCTTTCAGTTGGTTTTTGTCTGTTGTGGTCGTTTCTCATGAGGTTAGCAATGGTCCCGCAGACGTTGAGCCTCCGAATAATATTACAAATTGTTATCATAAAAACATCAATATGCCTTGAGATGGCCATGCAGCCTTTACCTCGATTTCTTATGGTGCACACAACACCTAAAAACATCCATTTGGAGACTTAAACTATTCTGTTAAACACAGTCCCAGATAGCCTGTATTAAACCTGCACTTGTATTGGCTTTTGCTACGGGTTAAAATTAGGCCAGTCTGGTGTGCTGACAGGCAGCTTTGTTATAAAAAAAAAAAAAAAAAAAAAAAAAGAGTTGTCAGACACATAATATATATGTGAAGATCTACAGGAAGATTTTTGTGTTCACCCTCCCTTCACTTCCAGCTCCTCCAACAACTTTTGTCAAGCACGCAGTGGAAGATTTGTGATCTTGTGATTTGTGAATAATTACGCACACCCCACTTTTCAGTTATTTATTTGTAAAAAATGTTTGGAATCATGTATGATTTCCGTTCCACTTCTCACGTGTGCACCACTTTGTGTTGGTCTTTCACGTGGAATTCCAATAAAATTGATTCATGTTTGTGGCTGTAATGTGACAAAATGTGTGAAAGTTCAAGGGGGACATTCAAATCCTTGTTAGCCTATATCACAGGAAAAGAAAAAGGCCCAGATATCCTAAACTAGACTTTATATATATATCTTATGTAAGGTGTGGATATATAAATATATGTACATATACTCTGTATATATGTTTATGGACAGGTATGCAATGTAGTGACAACTAATATTGCATAATACTGCACATAAAAGCTACTACTAATATGGTGTATTGTAGGCTGCAAGTACTTTGTTGTTGAGTCTGACAACGATTGGAAGGAAAGACCTTCTCCTGGTTCTCTCCTGTCTCCTGAATCTCTCCTGGTTGGGGGTTGGCGGAGGGTATGTTTGCACAACAAAAGCAGGAGAACAATGGAGCTGAAGGCCTCTCAGCGGGGTGCTAGGAGGTGTTAGGTTCAGGGGAATTTACGCAAATTTACGCAGGGTCAGTAAATCTAGTAGTAGGGACTTACACCAGGAAAAAAAGAGGGTCAGTAATTCTAGTGTTAAAAGTACTTTACAACAAAAAAGCTCAAATTAAGCAGTCAAAGTCTTTGCTACTTCTATATCTACGTCCATGAAAATATAAACACAAACAAATTTTAAAGAAGAAAACCAATTCCAGTGACATTAAAGGTATACGTAAACTATCCTGGCATGACTTAAACCCAAATCCCTCAGTGGAAAGTATATTACATAAAAGTTAAGCAGTAAGAGCTGTTTGCAGTAGAGCTGCAAACAGCTCTAAGCTGCCACAATCAGGTGTGTTTGAACCAAAATCCACCACGACCATGCTGGTCATTAGTACCAATGATGTAGGAATATATAAACAAAAATACATACATACATTTTGTAACTTATTTTTCTGACGGGTAATAAAATAAATGTTGACCTGCAGTAAACATTGGCTAGAGACAATTTGTCTTTAAGACAACAAACAGGTGGAACAGTTTAATCACACAGTAACTACAAACGCATTTTGTCAACTTAAAAACACAAACTTTGAGTGAACCAATCTGTGTGCTGTGTAATAGGAAAATCACAAATTTAAAGGAATGACACAGCAACTTCCAATAAAAATTCTCTTCTCCCTGGATGAAGGCTTTTCTCCTCCTCGTCTTTCCTGTATGCCAGAAGATGACATGTGACTGCCCCCTGGTGGTCACTTCTCTATCAGTGAGTCCAGCTGCTCCTGCAGGGAGGCCAGCTGTTGGAGCAGAAAATAGAGGGCGTGATTGATGCCCAGCAGCACCGTGGTGTAATTGGAGGGTAAGTGGATGATGATTAACATGTCTTTTCACATTAATTTGCTGCAGTCATTTGTCAATACAAACAACGACCCTAGACAGTGGGTGGCCACTATGCCATAGCTACAAAAAGGACTCCCCTGGTAGCTGCTGTCAAATTAAATTGCGCTTGATTGGTTTTCAACTTTGCTATTAGGCATGAAAAATGTTGGGTTGAAAAAGAATAGCAAACACAACACCATCCGCCGACATGATATTTGACATTCATTCAAGAGAAATTCATGCAAAGTGCTGAAGGCTGTAGAAAGCTCACAGTGAGCACTGATCCTTGGCTTTTACAAAAAGGTTCTTACCTGCTCCATCTCCCGCTCCTCCTGCTGAATAATCTCATCCAACAAGGCTTGGAAACGGTTCTGTAAGAGCAGAGAGGCAAACAAGGTTTGTTTGAGTCGACATGCTGAGCCTCATTAAATTGTGATGGCTTTAAATGTGTGTCGGCCTGGGCTGCTCGTGTCAGTATCTCCTCTCTGACAGAAAGGCCACTTGGAATGCCAGTCAGAGACAGCTGACCTTTTCCATGTGACTGTGATAATAACGACTGGAGATGGGGCTCTGACGGTCCCAAAACACTGAGCAATGAGAGCGTTAAATGGCAACGTAGGAAGGGTCGTGTCTGCTCATGTTTCACTCATTGTAAATTCTCCACTAAAGAGTGCTGGGCATAAGAATGAACTTTCAGCTCCTTTTTTGTGCATGGAAAAACCTACAGAGAAAAAGGCTAGCAGCAGAGATGCAATATTCTGGGTTTTAAAATAACCATTTAAAAAAATAATGTCCTCCAACAATGTGTGAAATCAGCTGTTATTTAGGTTTCCCGCCACCTTTGAGAGAATTTATGCTGCATGAAGAATTTTGCCTCCAAGCTCATCTGCATGTTCTTGTTTACGTCTCTGTACATGCAGACCTAGTTTTTGGATGAACGGGTGAAAAAAGTGTGAGTGTTTTCAGTGCTTACTTTGAGGGCCTGGTTTTCCACTTTCATGATGAGCTCCTCCTGCTGTTTCTTGCGGGCACGAGTTTCCTGAAGCTTGGCCTTAATGTTGTTGATCTGCACCTGGTACTCCATAACTGCAGGACACAGTGGGAGGTTCATGTGTGAGGGCTGTCATAAAAACACTTATGTGCTGCAAAGAGGAGGCAAAAAAGGTTGGAGGGCGAAGATGATGTGACATAATTTGAGACACTACACTTGCCACGGGGACAAGATATGCAGCTTAGCTTGCTGAACCATAAGGATGCTTCCATTTCAGTTTGACAAATTATCCATAAAGGGAACAATCAGTCAACTTAAAAGGACACGAATCAGCAGGATGCAGATCTAAAAAGACACAACTAAATCAGTCTGCTTTGTGCACCACACAGAGTTCTCATCAAATCCACCATGTCTCACAGAAACCCGTGGCTCCACCACCAATCAACCATCTTATAACTAATTGTATCCATTCACCGTTTTCCC